GGGCTGGGGGGCGGGGGGATTCCTAGCAGGCGGCCCCTGCCTCCACCTGCATGCTCCTGGGCAGGCAGGGGTCAGGAAGGAGCCCCCGCCTCTGCCTGGGGCCCCTCGCCGTCCCCCACAGCTGCACCCTCCTGGCTGCAGAGCCAGGAGCTAAGGGAGCCGGGTCTCCAGCTCCCAGGATGCGGGGGTCCCGGCCCATCCCCCTCCCCTGCTCCGACACATCCGTGCAGCCGTCAAGGGAGGGATAAGGGCTCCAGCTGCTGACCCGGGGCCGCTGGCTGCGCGCCCGGCCTGGCTGCTCCGGGATCTGGCTCCATCCCCCCTCTCCTCTCTCCCTCTTTCCCACACGCCAGAGGAGGAACACGGCTCCGGCGCGGCGCATCGAGCACTTGGTGAGTCCCCCGGCCCCTGCATCGGGAATGCCCCCCAAAGCCCCCGGGCCCCGGTTGGCACGCTGGAGCTGGCGGGGCGTGAAGGGGCCAGGGGAAACTGCCCTCGCACATGGCTCCCTGGTGAACCCGTGCGAGACCGGGGCTGCCCAGTGCCCGTGAAACGAGGCAGGACCCTGACCGCCCCTTTGTCTTCCAGGGCTCCACTAAGTCCCTAAACACGGGGAAGCAGCGGAGTACCCTGCCCAGGTGAGGGGGTCGGGGGCACGGCCGAGGGGAGACCTGGGACCCCCATGCCTGTTGGAGGAGAGTGGGGTGGGAGACCCCCTGCCCTGCTCATAATCCTGCCCCCCAGGAGCTTCAGCCTGGACCAAGTGATGGAGCGCGCCTACGACCTGGACCTGACGTACATCACCGAGCGCATCATCTCCGTCTTCTTCCCCCCGGGGCTGGAGGAGCAGCGCTACCGCGGCCACCTCCGCGAGGTGGCCCAGATGCTCAAGTCCAAGCATGAGGACAAGTACACGGTAGGAGCCTAGTGGTTACAGCAGGGGCAGGAGCCAGGACTCCTGGGTTTTCCCCTTGGCTTGGGAGGGGTGGGGACCTAGTGGTTAGAGCTGGGGGGAGGG